AATAAGGAGTATTTAGTTGTTTTAACTTAACATATGGCAACTTAACATATGATGGTTATTCTAAAATTTGCAACAAAAATATACCGTAGTCAATAAATTACAAGCGTTGTTTTCAGTCACCTAATTGTATATATTGTACAACAACACGTACAACACTTGAAAAAAATGAAGTGCAACAAAATAAGTTTTAATTGATCAAAATTAGGAATACAATCCTTCCAGCTAGTGTATCATCATTTTTGAATAGAGATAAGCAAAATAAGTCACTTTATATAAATCTTTCACTTCAATTTTTCTTCCGGTCATCCTTAATAAAACATAAAACAGATGAAAAAGTGAAAAACTATCACGTAGATGAATTATAAAGCTAATGTGGTAGCCTAACTATAACTAAGTCTGCTGAGTCTTATATAGCACCACACGCCAAAGGAAAACTACACATACACCTGGTTAAATTTCAATGGGGGTTCTGATCCCTCTTGATTCACCTTGTATAGCAGAGAAACTGGTTTCACATTGAAAGTTGGAAAGAATGAATCTTTTAAGTTAATGTAGAATAAGAACTTCCTTAGTAAGAGTTATCCGGCTTAAATGAGTATAACTTATAATTTCTGGAGAAGAAAACATGGTTGGTAAGATCCATTTCAAAGGATTATTTGACTGAAATGCTTAATCCAAAAAAAATCTGTGGATGGATTCTTTCAATGGCTGAGGCTTAAGTTGTTATAGATATTCACTTTTCCGGCAATGTAGCATGTCGGAGGCTTGGAAGTGGTGAATTTGAAACCGAAATAAAAGGTAGATTGCCGGCCATATGCAAACAATCGGAAGTGATGAATTTATACAAAAAATTATGCAAACAATATATACACACCGGCCATATCTATACACACCGGCCATATGCAAAAAATACATATGCAAACATCGGCCATATATATATCTCATATACACACACATCAATCTATCACACATATATAAATCAAATATATAAGGAATATATAAAATCTGGCTCTGAGAGAACTAACCTGGAATAACAAATGAACAGATGAGATGAAGGCTGACAAGTGAGAGAGACGAGTAGAAGAGATTGCCGCAGAAGAGATGGAGGCAGACGAGCAGACAACGATCGAGAGGGCTGAGCAGAAGAGATGGAGGCAGACGAGTAGACAACGATCGAGAGGGCTGTGCGGCAAATGGGCTATTTTTTTATCGGTAAATGAAGGGTAGTAATTGTCAACACTTCAATACACTCCAAATTGGGGTGTTAAAAAAGTGGACAAATGAGGTGTTGAGGGGGTAATTACTAACACCTGTTAACACTTACTAACACCCGTTAACACTTCTTAATTTCTCTCCCAAACAAGTGTTAATATCAACACTTCTCAACACTTCCATTACTAATACTCCCTAACACTTGATCCAAACACAGCCTAAGGGGAGATTTTTTTTCTATTCGTCGTAGCAGCTCATAAGCAGCCGGAGGAGGATGCGATTCTTTCTGTTCGTAAGCATTTAGCAGTTCTTCTATTCTTTCCTGTAACAAGAAGCAGCGATTTTTTTCCTTCTCTTGAGAATCAACCGTAGCTAGCAACTTGAAGAGCAAGTAGCTTTCTTTCATCTCTCTTTTCTTTGACAATCAGCCGCAGTAGAAAACAAGAACCCAAAGAACTTCATTTTCATTCAATTTTTTCTAATCTAAGTTAGATTCTCAGCAAGTATTGTAAGTTACTAGTCATTTACAGTATTAGTTCTTCAATTTTGATATAATTTCGAATTTCTTTGTTTCTAATTAGCAATTTCAGATTTTTCCATCAAATACTCATTATTCAGTTTTGATTTTTAGTGCCCTATCATGTTTATCAATAATTTAGTGAAGTTAATTTTAATTATGAGTAGCTAATTTCCTATAGGGTTTGAATTGGGGCTAGGGTTCATGGGTTTTTGAGGGTGTGAATTTAGTTCTTTAAAATTCAATTAATTTTCTGGAAAATTGTATAAGATTAATCATAATTGTCTATATGAATTTGATCACCTCATATATGAATGTTTGGATTTAATTCAGTTCTTGTCTATGAGAATTTGAGTTAAATTAGCTTGGGTCTTATACAAGCAATCTGATCTTAGAAATAAGTTAGGATTGTCGAAATATGATTTAATTCTTGTCTATGAGAATTTATTTCATTTTCTTTCCAGGAGTAATTGAAAATTAATTTGCTTAATTCTAATCCCAAAAGAACACCCAGAACCCGAACCATCCAATTTGAACCCTGTTTTAATATCTAGAATCAAATTTTTTTTTCTCTCTACTTATTTTTTGCAGTCGCTATTAGTTAGTTTTTTTCTTAACACTCAAAAAAAATATTTATTCGGAAAGATTACCATGACTTGTGCTAGCCTGTGATCACGGACTGTATTTAAAACTTCCTTTTTGCCACTCCTTGAGAGACGATACTCGTGGTCTGGTTATTCTTCGGATTAGCCAACTACGTTTTACTCACTAAAATAATACACCGATCAATTTACATATTTAGAAACCACATTAAAATATCTTTAAAGTTGCAAAATCTAAATTAGAATATACGATGTACTTTTTCTGAAAGGCTAAATTAGAATATAATTAAAAAGTGAAATCCTAATTAAATGAATTAAAAGAAACTGTTTGACCAAAAAAATGTTGACTTTGCCAATCATTTTGGAACGGAGGTAGTATGAAATATGAAAATTGTTAATTTGTGTAAATTTTTGGAGGATGCCTAAACATTAATTTTTCCTTAAACACTTGGAAAAAGTGGCATTATTTGGTATTGGTATGGCATGGTACCGTCCCGTTTGAAAATGGACCGTACCGAATGGGTTTAGGTGTAAGACCGAACCGAACCGTTTCAATAGTAACGGTACGGGTACGGGTTCGGCCAAATATTGGACCGGACCGGACCATGCCCACCCCTAAGAGAACCCAATCCAGAATGAAGAGACTGACTTTTTGTCTGTGCCACCACCTCGGCACCTTCACCTCGGAGGAGCACACCTTGGTCACAGGACGCTAAGACTCACCTAAGGATTTTCACTACCAAGACTATGGTGTGCCCATGCACCTTGGACCCATCACTCGCACAAATTGTCAGTATACCCTTAGCGGGTTAGAACACATGTAAATACCCAGTAGCGGCCCATTATTGTAATCGGTTCTCCCATGCCCAAGACTTGGGAGCCCAACCCATATTCCCTCTATAAATACCCCTATGGTAGTTGTAGGGGGTTCCCAATTCATTTATGGCAAACTCTTTCTCTCTCTAATATTAGCTCTTCTTGCTCTCTACGGCTATATCACTAGCGATTTACCGGGAAGCTATCATGTATTTTAAACATTATAAAGCTTATATTTTACTCAAGTATCTAGTGTAGGAGGCATCAATTTGTCATTTACAACCGGAGCCTCCAAATTCATTATACTGCCCTGATAGTGCCGGTAATTGGAAGTTGTATAGTTAACCAATTGGTTATACACTACAAACAATGGAATTGACACGGATTCAGCACAAATCTTTGAAACGGATTTGCAAAATTTCAAAGTATTTGGCAAAGATTTGCCACATATACGTCGAATCGACTCGTTCAATCTATGCAAGAAAAGGCAAGTTTGTAGACCCACCCAACTTACTCTGTTCTCTTTAGTTTTCTTTTGTTCGCTAGTCCAGAATTCCAGAAAGCGCACACCAGGTGTTTGTGTATTTACTTAGCAAAATTCCTGACTTTTGTTGTAAGGTTTTCTGTGGTATCCACATTTATTTCCAGTGACACAGGAAATTCTCCTGGCTGTCAGATAGACCATGCGTATACGGTTCCCCACGGATGGTCCTTGGAAGTTTTAAAGCTAATGGGATTAATATATACAAACACAAGTAATTTAGATTAACGATTCAAAAAAACACTGGAGTTGACACGGATTTAGCACAGCTCTTTGGAACAGATTTGCAAAATTTCATAGTATTTGGCACGGATTTGACATAGATACGTCGAATATGTGTCAATGTCGTTTGTCACCGGTTATTTGGCATAGCATCGTGCGAAAAACATGTTATGATTCGTGTCAAACCCGATCAATCTGTGCAAAATCGTGTTAATATCATTGTTTTTTGTAGTTGTATATAAAAAATATCAAGAAAAGGAAGTTTGTAGTATAGACCCGCCCAACTTACTCTATTCTCTTTAGATTTTTTTTGTTTGCTAGTGCAGAATTCCAGAAAGTGCACACCAGGTGTTTGAGTATTTGCTTAGCCAAAGTCCTGAGTGTTGTTTTAAGGTTTTCTGTGGTATCCACATTTATTTACAGCGAGACAAGAAATTCCACTGGCTGTCAGATAGACCATGCGTATACGGTTTCCCACGGATGGTCCTTGGAAGATTTTAATATATACAAACACAAGTAATTTAGATAATTAACGATTCAATAGGAAGTACTTGTATATATAAATGTGATGTAACAATAAAAAGAAAGAAATTAAACTCGCAGCCAACCCTAAGTTGCTTGGCGCTTAGTTGTTATTGCGTATAAAGAAGTAAAGAAAGACACCCTATATTTATGGACTATCATATGGATCATAGCACATACTTGTACATATATAAGTACTCGTTTTTGGATAGTGTGGTAATAAAATAAATGATTATTAATCAACTATTAGCTAGCTACCCTGCAATCAGTTCTGACTTCTCCGTCGGCGCCTGCTGTGATGCTGCTCATCTTGATCATGGAATCCGCAAAGGCCTTAAAGAAAGCTTCTTTGGAGTCAGCGTACTTGGAAACCAAATCCTGGGTCTTTGGATGAGAGAGCAGAGCTTGGTCGGAAGAGAACAAGGTTTTGCCCTGGAGAATGAGCTTGAAGTAGTTATTGTCGAAGGAGGTGGAGGAATTGAGGTCCATTCCAGTTCCATCGTCTTTGGATTTGTTTTCCTGTGGGCAGATGCTTCTCAGTTGGGCTGCAAATGCGGGATCCAGTGTGGGGTCCACGTCGTTGCTGGCGTTGAAGTTGTGCAGCCTGCTCTCGAAGGATGAGCAATGCGAGAAACCTATGGTGTGTCCACCTGAAAGGGCCACCAAGTCTTCCATGGACAGACCTCGCTGGGAAAAGCTAATGTACAGCTGAGATATGTTGAAGGCAGGGCCTGGCAGTTGTAGTGTTTCACTGGCTTTCGACACTCGCCCATCTTTTCTCCCTTTTGGGACATCCCAGTAAGGCCCCCCTGCCTGAAAGAAATTAATTAAAGGATTAATTAGAAAGAACAAACAAACACGGCCGGCACTATAGAAAGAACAAAATACAAATGAAACTTACAGCAACAACTGCATCCCTGGCTGCAAAGGCCAAAATGTCAGCACAGGAGACAACACCAGGACACATTGCTTCCACAGCCTTCTTGGCATCATCAATCACAAAGAATGAGTGGAGAGAGAGATTGGGAGGTCCATTCTTCTCCCCACTGTTCTTCTTTGAGTCCAGTAGCACTGATGCATCACACCCCTGCATATATATTTGCCACCGCTTAATTTCTTCAACAAGTACCATCCAAATCGATCAAGTATATATGCATGTGGTGTTGTGTGTGTTTGTGTTTCCTTCTTCGGCCACTAATATACTCCGTAATTACTTATGTATGGATCAAATCAAAGTAAATCTTAACTAAGGAGATGAAAATGAGAATGATTTTCGTGCATTATTGGATTTTCTGCAGCAGGTTGGGTAAAAAAAATTCGAAAAAGTTCGATTAGTACGTATTTGAATCTAAAATGTAGTGCATTGAAGAAAAAGTGAAAATTTCACATCTGGTTACACATTAAACACATTTTATATACGAGTATATAGATATGTCTATGAAAGCTGATTTAATATATACTCGTTATAATTAATTAACCATCTATGTATGTGATGAGTACGTTATTATTAAGGGTAAGTGGCGGACATGATGAGAATTTGGATTTGAAACAAGACTGTTAATAATACTTTGATTAGAAGCAAAGTAAAGGCAGCCGCGCTAGCTCTAGCTAGCTAGTGTTGTAAGTCAAAATTTTCTTATAAACGTCACGTACACTACTTATATATAGTCCAACCAAATGAAATGAATAGAATTAGGTGCGTGCGTACCCTAATGAAACAATCATGGAAATGCATCCTGAGTAATCCCGCAGGAACGGTTTGGTCAGCCAGTGATGCCGCCCTAACCACCTCTGCCACCACAACCTCTGCCTCAGGACAAGTCCTCTCATAGTAATCGGAACTCAGTCCATTCCCCACATCAATATTCATCATGCAAATTATTAACACTATCCATAATGAACTCAACAATCTGGAATAATAATGAGCCATATATGTATTAACGTACGTATAGTACTGGAATTAAAACTTTATTATGTACTACTACGTATATTGTTGTTAATCACTTGCCCTGGTCTTTTCATCATTTGGAAGCAGTATTTATAGCAGATAGCTAGGATGATCGGAAGAATTGATAAAGAATGTTTATTTAGTAGGTGAGTGCGGGCACTGTTAATTAATTTCATTACTTCATTATAAAGAATTGGAAATGGATTATATGCCCCCAATCAAACGTACATTTTCTTTCAAACGTACATTTTCTTCTTTTCTCGCTGCTGACTTTTCCAACAGAAAAACAGGCCAGGTTTTTTATATTGAGATCCAGCTGATTGATTTTTACAATACACTTACGCTTATATACGTTTATCTTTTTTTGTTTTGTTTTAAGTTCTATTTAGATTAAAGTTCTTGTTTGTATGAAGACATGAAGTGATATTTGTATATTGGATTATTTTTTTATGTGTTTGAATAAATACCTTGAATGGACTGAAATAATCATTCACATTATAATATAGAAATTGCATACACAAAGTTCAAAAATAGGATTAGGTATGTTTTCTTTCCCAAATAGGACTTATTTAGTCCTATTAAAAAAATAAGTTGATTAAAATTAGAGTGGATGAATCATATTTTAATTTGGGGAAATTAAAACAAAGGGAGTCCTAGCTATTTATGAACTTAATTCTTATTTTAGTCCTATTTGAACAATTTTCTCTTATTATTAAGTTATACTGTATGTAGTACTCGTATTAGCAAATACCAAGTAGATATTGGATAAAGTCTTAGGGGCAGTTTGTTTGGGGGATATCAAATGAGATGAAAGCGGAGAGATCATCTACAAATTTGAAATAACTTTTACATTTTGAAAAATTTAAATTAAGTGAACATATATAAAAATTGTACTATATGTATATAAGGAGTACAGGGAGGAGTTTGTGTGGCATTGTGGCAAGGAAAGTTCATGTTCATGCATTCCATATTGAATTGGCACAAACATACGAGAAGGAGTGCTTGAACCAAGAAGAAAATATTGAGAGAGAATGAGATTCATATACAAGGTGCCCTAGCAAGTAGCAAAGCTTTTACTAGTTGTAGTTCTTTTAGCGGTTTTATTAATTCCATGTACTTCAATTTTTATTGTATTGGGTTTGAGAGAAACATTTCAGAATGTTTTACTCTTAATAAGCTTGGGATAGGATGTACAAAGTGAGTGCTTTGTTGTAAATTTGAGAGACTCTCTATCCACAAGATAAGATAGCAATAATTGTCCCTATAGAGGTTGGAGGTTTTTTATCCATTTTGAGCTAAGGGGTTTTCCCTCGTTAGATTCTTGTGTCTTTAGTTTCTGCTTTTCCTTGACTCATACTAGAACTTGGCAAAAAAATGTCAGAGTAACTAATAGTCATATTTGTGTACTTAAGTTTTATTTGAGTACGTAGTAATATTTTTGTTTAAACCCCCTTATTTTTTGCGAATTTGTAGAATTGTTAATGTAGTTTAATTTCCGAATATGTAGCTTTTATTTACTAAAAACACTTTGAGTGTTGACAGAGATCAATTAACTTTGTCATCGGTCAAACATCGTAAATCGCAACTAGAAGATCGAAGTTTTTTGCGAGATGAAGGAAATACTAAGCTAGTTAGCCATATTTCAGAAATGACCGCATCGTTTAAACAGATTCCTAGTAAGTTTCTCATAAAGACGTTGTATATTGTATTTACTTTAATGCAAGCTCGAAATTTGCATGAAAACTTTTCTCGAAAATCATTTGTTCTGCGAAAAACTGTCTCTAATTCACTCCATCCCTCATCTACTACTCGTGCGTACAATGATTTGTGCGGAGGATTGATAGCACTCAGTTGTCTTTGTGGAGGATTGATAGCACTCCATTTTAGGGTCTGTTTGCAACAGCTTTTGCTTTTAAAAAAAGTGTTTTTTTAATGAAATGGGGAGAAGTGATTAAATAAAAGTTGATAGTGTTTGAGAAAAAAGTAATTTTGAAAAGTAAAAATGAGTAGTGTTTGGTAAAATAAGTGTTTTTTGTGTAATAGAAAAAGTAAAAGTACTTTTGACGCGGAAGCCGAGAAAAATAGAAGTTGTAATGTTTGGGAAAATAAGTGTTTTTTTAAAGTCAGAAGTGCTTTTTTAAAAGCAGTTGCAAACCAACCCTTACTCAGATAACATTTAAAAAGTGTCAAACCAAAGTCAGAATTAGATATCACAATTTTAATTTTAACGGTCAATCAAAACGTAGTACGTTGACCACTCCGAGAACCATTCTCAAACCGTTTTATTTCAGTTTGGATTTAGTGGTTAAATAATAAATACACATTCAATATTGAACTAGGAAGAACTGTTTATAAGAAGAAAACGAATGATATGCCTCGAATTGTCTCTAGTGGCATGCAAGCGTGAATTGACATTGGAGTGGCATCTAACATTCCTTCATAACAGTACATAATTCCTTTTTGTTCTTTTGAGGCTGACTTTTCCAAGGAAAAAAGAGGATCTTTATTTGGAGGAGAGAGAAAAAATCCATATTAAGAGGTATACAACCTTTTAAAGTTTCCGATTGCTTCTACTTTAAAAAAGTGATTTTATAAAGTGATTTAAAAGAAAATGTTTAATAGTAAAAGTTGATAGTATAACTATATCATATATATGTGCTCAAACTAAAATGTGTAATTATGTTTGATACAAAGGCATATATACAAGTCTGTTATTAATTCTCACTGGCATTATGTGCATTCTTCATAAACATTTATACTTTCATATCACTGTAAAAACAATGATAGTGGCACGGACTTGGCACGGATACGTCAAATTCGTGTCAAATTCCGTGCCAATGTCATTATGTCACAATTTGTCACAACATAGTGCCAAAAATATGTTATGATTCATGTCAAACTCGATAATTTCATGCTAATATCCTTGCTTATTTGTAGTGAATGGAATACAATTTATACTAATAAGTTAACAATAAAATATTTAGAAATACATTAAATATAGAGAATAGAGATTTTATTGTAAACATTACATGTAGAAGTTAAATGTGTATGAGATAGAAATGTTCAGTTTTTATTTTTTGACATGATTAATACGGAGTATTAGTGTTCAAGTGGACTTGATGCTCTTGAATTGTTAAGAAAGTAACATTATGTTAGATGAAAAAATACAAACAATGCCACTATACCAGCATATATATATATATAGGGAGCGGTTCCGGTAAGAACATATCTTAGGAGAAAAATGAGAACGAATCTGGACCGTTGGATTGTATTATGTGGAACTAAATTGTGCATTTGGTGAAACTGAAATGTGCATTAAATGATATTGAAATGTGCAAGATAAAAATTTAAACTCAAGTGTGCATTAGATGAAACTGATATGTGCGAAAAAAAAGTACAAAAATAACATCACATCGTACTTTTTATTCTGCACATTTCAGCTTCACCTAGTGCACATTTCAATTTCATGTAGTGCACAATTCAACTGCACATAATGTCACTTTATCGTATCCTTTGTGATGCACATTTCAATTTCACCTAATGCACGTTACAATTTCATCTAATGCACACTGAATTTCACTTGAGGCAAATCTAACGGTCCAGATTCGTTCTCATTTTTCTCATAAGATCGTGTTCTTATTTGAACCAAAACCTATATATATATATATATATATATATATATATATATATATATATATAAACGATAAAAAAAAATGACCATCCGAAAGAATGTGAGAAAAAATTGTGAAAGGGAATGATGAGCTATAAGTGTCATGAGTTGGGATGTCAAAGTTTTTGCCAACTGTATAATGCTTTGGGTTCGTGAGTCCATGACCATGCATGTTTGTTTTTTCCAAACTTCCTCATTCTTAATAAAATCATTTTAAGATATTTGGTTTTGTGGGCATGATATTTGGTTTTTCGTAAAGTGCTTTAAATGAAGCTAAGATAAATGGTGTTTCTACCTTCTGCCCGGCTGTAAGATATTTCCAAAATTATATAAATGAATACTTAAATGCATTTGTAAACAATTCAGCTCATATATGCTCTTGTTTCAAACGGGATCTAAAATAATCAACTTATTGTACTAGCTAGCATCATTATATTTTAGCTAAATTTATCTTCTAATAAGCGTCCAATTAATCTGTCGACTCGAATATTCAATTCAATTCGTGAATTTTTTTCTTTGAGTGAAACTGACATTTCCTGGTCTCATATTTCAATGTTTCATCATATCTAGCCTAGCCTGTTGGGATTTTAACATCAATTCTGTTAACTTGTTTACGTAATAAAGGCATATTGCCAATAATCTACTCCGTATGTGTTTCATTTCTCCTCGATCATTAATATATAATAATATCAGTCTCAACTAATTTTCCGTTGTGATGTGATTTGTTTGTTGCTGAAGAAATTAAAGTAGAGAATTGCTCTTTGTACACACTTATTTTACACACCAGTTACAAACTATAAAAAGGGAAAAAATTTACTCCCTAAAATTTACTCTGCTCCTCTACCCTTTTGTCTCCCGATCTACTCCTTGACTGACGCTCCCCTTCTCCCCCCCTCTCTCTCTCTTTTTTCTTTTGTTTCTTCAACTCCCTTCCTCCAAAATCCAAAGACATATTTTTACAGAAGGTTTGTTATCCTCTGGTTTTGATATCACCTCTTTTTCCATTTTTAATTAACCCATGGACTCAAACCTTGAGTCTGCCGTGCCACCCCCGCTAACTATGACGGAAGAACCCTATACCTCTTCAGTTGCCACTCTTCTTCACCTGCCCAAGGTAATAACCTTCTCCTTTTTCTCTAATGTGAGATTAGTTATTGGGAGTTATTTTTGGATAACTTATTTTTAGTCTAAATCATTGTATTTTTGGCAGTTGATTCCTTTTAGACTTCTTACCATCTTTGGTTGAGGGTTAGTCGATTGTTTTTTCTAAAAGCCTGCAGCTATATTAACGCAGCAAGGCAGTTCTCTCAACATAAGAAACACTTATTCTTTCTCCTTATTATTCGCACTGCTCTATCACGTAGCTAGTAAAACTAATATTAGTGTTATAATTTTTGTGTGAAGTGCATTAATTATTTAAATTGTCCTTTACTTTTAATTCCGATTTTATGCCTAATTTATGTTTTTGAAA